AACCAGGAAGCTTTACAGCATCAAACAATGTCATCCTTTCTGTAACTCAGTATTCCGCTCCATCTCTCCTCTTTCACTCTGTTCCCCCTCCATCCCTCCATCCCTCTCTATTAAAACATTAACAGTGTGAGCCATGCGTTGAGATGCTCTATAATTCCATCCAGGCTGTTTTATAAGGCCGCCTGCTACTCTCGCTCTCAGGCTCATATACATCCTGTTCCTAAGAGGAAATGGCTGCTTCCCCTCTTGTTCTTATAAATAATGTCGATGGTAAAGTGCTCTGCAGCAGCGCAAACTCTCTACAGCCAGAGTATACAGGCCGGGCAGTAAAGTTGGTCTCCTATACACTTGTTTGTGTCTCACGTGTTTAATGTAAAAGTGAAGGGAGGACGGGACTGTAACCCCTTTTTACTCATTACATACTGACATATACAGGAATTATCAATGCTATAAAGGGGGATTTGTTGTTGTGTGTTAAAAGGTGCAGTGTGGGACTTTTACATATAAATGGATTGAGCTGATCATCTCCAGGTTTTTAAATCTGGTGTCAACCAGCAATACAGCGTTTTAAACCAAAAATGAAGAATCTACTCACCACTGGAAGAGTCCATCCAGAAAGTGATCAGTCATTCTTCCAACTGGCAACAACCCAAAAAGTCCATATTTCATAGTTCACCCGTTCTACAGAATCTGATTATTCTACATCTCCATCCTTTCTACTCCGTGGACCCATCCAGCACCGGCAGGACTATGAGAGGAAACTCTGGATGGTCGGAGAATCTCTAAACCCGCCTGTTAGACGTCTGTCACTTGGGTTTAATCTCGTTGGCCAATCATTGGAGTATTTTTGTTTGCTTCTTTGGATGCCAAAGTTGAGTTTTCCATCATATTAGTTTTGGTTCTTGGAGAGGAACAAACCAGCCCACGTTTCCACCAGTTTTAAACCATTGTAATTTGGCCGGATGCACCATGAACAGCCAGCGCTGCACAACACACAAGGACCTGTAGAATATGATACGCATTTTGGTTCCCATGGAAAACCTGCTATTTCTTGGTTCCAGTTGGGAACCAACTTTTCAGGTTCAGAACCAATTTGTTTTTGTTTAAAACGCTCCTAACAGTTCAGAACTAGGGGCCTGAACTGGACCAGAGTCTGTTCCATGTTGGTGGAAAAAGTCAGTGTTTTTCTACCAAATTAGTTCTGGTTCTTGAAATGGTTCCTTTTAACATTCTCAACAGATGATGCACCCTAGTGCTTCAACAACTAAAGAACTGGCTCTCGGCCAGGAAAACCGGTTCCAGTCCAGCACCAAGAAGTTTGCTGGTCTAGAACCAAGAACTGCTTACAACAGCTTGGGGCGGCTTGTGGGCAGCCAGCTGTGTATTTATTAGCTGTTCCAAACATAACATTAAGCTAGGAACTAACATTACCCAAGCAAGCACAGCTACTAATTTCCGTGTTTTCTTCGTAACCGTTACATTTGAGTTCAGTAACATTGATGTAAAATATTTCAGCTGTTAGTGGCAGATTCTGTCAGAAAGAGTTGCTCATAGTCTAAAAACAGCTCTTACAATGACACAGTGTTAAATTTAGATGTGTGGTGCATTATTTATGTGTTTATGGGACAAAACATGATAAACGTCTACTTAAGCACTGAAAATAAGTATAATATTATAAATATTACCATCAATTGTGGTGAAAACTGGGACATTTTAGTCTTTTACAGATATTTGTCGGGAGTCAGGACACCCAGCTTGAAACACTGAAGCCTGTTTCAAAGCAACTAATCAAAGCACTAAAACTGAGAGTTGAGTTTAATTTCTGTTGAAAAGAATGTATTGTTCAACTCTGTTTTCCAGCTGTCCATCACCAGAAACTCCCTGTGAGGTAATTTCAGCTTGTTAATGGATGAATGAAAGATTTCCCCTGAGAAACGAACGATTAATTGTTCAATTGAAAGGTGTTTTTTTTTTTTTTTTTTAATCAGACCACCTGAAGGAAAGTGTGGATTATCTGGAGTGGAGACACAAACAGACTGCATGTTTCCCTGGCAGCCGCTCTCTGAGCGAGCTCCAGCAGATTATGTTTCCCCTCACATATATTGCTTCTGGAGGGGCTGCAATAGGTTTATGATTTCACTCCCAGTTTATTTGCACAGTGATAAAACACAGGAGCAAAGCAATAAAAGCAGCATGATGAAAAACAATGATAACAAAGTGAACAAAGAGAAACAAATGAGCAGATCGGACTGCAGCCGAGAAAAGAGGAGGGGGGGAATACACAGAGCGAGGAGGAAGAGGAGTGGGGGGATGAAGATAAAATGGAAAAGAAGTGGAGAGAATTTATCAATAAAAGTCGACCACAATGCTGTTAATTTTTTAAAACATCACACATTCTAAACCCAGACTGACAAAACCATTAAAGGAGTTTTTTTTCTTATTTTATCAAATTAAATAAATCACATTCGCACACAAATCATCCATCAGATTCACATCGATTTCCTTCCAGCCTTCTTTTAAAAATCTACTTTTAGAGACTTGAAACTGTCACGACTCCTGATGACTCCGTATGTGAAAGCAGACAGACACTCACCCTCTCTCTCTCTCTGCTCACCTGCTCGTCAGCTCCAATCAAACGCACCTGTCTGCCATCGGGTCTGCACCTGTACCAGATTCCCCGAGCTTCCACCAATGTAAAGTGTTAGTTTACCTTTGGTTCTCGAACAGATCTCAGTATATTAGCATGGTATCATTTCTACCAGCTGTTTCTGAATAAACTGAAGCTTCAGATCTCTCGTCTGCATTCGAAAGCACTGAAATAAAACAATAAAATCTCTTCACACCTTCAGGCCCGTTTACACCAGTTTCTCATATTCAGGTTAAATCTAGATATGATTTAATACTTTAATTTACATTTACATCACAGAGGACCTGTCATTGATCTACCCACAATCACTGATACCCGGAAGGCGTCTGTGCACTAGAGCTGCAATGATCAATTGATTGTCAATTATTAAATTAATCACCAACTATTTTCAAAATCAATTAATCATTTTGAGTCATTTCTTAAGAAAAAATATCAACAATTTCTGAACATTCTCTGGTTTCTTTAGTCTTCTCTGATTGAATATCTATCAATCAAACACTGATCACACAGTCAATTAATCGAGAAAATAATCGACAGATGGATCCATAATGAAACATTTTCACCGCGTCCATGTTCACTAGTTGTTTGTCTGCTTGGTTTTATAAAAAGAAACATCTCCAATGAAGCGAGTGTTCCTGAATAATTCACAGGCAACAAAGGAGTTTTAACTGCATTACCACATGATGTAAGTTTAACCAAACTTACGTAACAGCCTGCAGCAGGTTTAAAGACGTCCTCAGAGGGAGAACCTCGATCTATTATCTATCTATTATCTATCCACAAAGCCTCTGTGCGATCAGTACAGATCCAATCAATGAAATCAATATTTACTGGAACACTCTGTGATCAAATTTATCTCAAAGTGAAATTTCCAGAAATACACTTTAGATATAAAGAGGGAGAGAAAGAGAGAACAAATGGAGGGATACTCCCTAGAAAGAAACAGAGAGTAACTGAGAGCAGACGGGGAGGTGAGGAAGGTGAGGAGAGGGGGAGGAGAGGGAAGAGGGTTAGGAGAGGGAGGAGAGAGGGCAAAGAGGGGGAGGAGGAGTAAGGGAGAAGAGGGAGGTAAAAGCCTGGGTTGTGTTTTGCTGCCTGGAGAATCCATTTAAAGGTTGGCCTCTCCCTGCTGAAAACTAATGGAGCTGAAGGAGAGGATGAGGAGGTGAGGAGGCCTTTCACAATAAAAGCCTTCATCCTCAGTTCAGTGTCAGAGATGTACAGTGTCCAAACACTGAATAAAGCAGTTCCACTTTAAAAATTAAAAGAGGGGCTGCGAGCCGAGCTGCTGCTAACGTTAGCTCAGCTTATTTCTCTGATAACTTAAAATCCAGACGTCTGATGACTAAAATCCTTCATCCATTCAATCCTTCAAGTTTTTCTGCACTTTACCCAACATAAACACAGTTTTCATTCAATAAAAACCTTCAAGGCTCCATACAGTTTAACACCACTGCTGCTTTACTACAGTGCAGAGCTGTTTGACTCATTCACTGCAGTTCACACTTTCCCATTCACACCTTTTGAACTCACACTTTATGTCTCCATTCACAGACAGGTAGGAGTATAGAGTCGTATAGAGAGAGTGCTGGAGAGCAGTATGGTCGCAGCTTATGGCAGATTCCTGACTCACTCTCTATTTCTGATGTTTCCAAAGGCTCTTTGAACAGGAGATAATAGATCAGAGCTGGAGAGCTGCAGGGTGAAGACACCATCATCCTCTCTCTCTCTCACACACACACACACACACACACACACACACACACACACTCTGCATCCACATGGCAGCAGTGTGTGAGTGTGTGTGTGGGCGGCAGCGGGGTGAAGATACACCACCATACTCGAGAAGCAACGAGTGGGAGGTACACACACAAACTCACACACACTCACACACACACAGTTTGGGTTTTTCACACTTCATCTCTCTTCATGGTGGAAACAGACTGTAAAACTCTCCTCCGTGACCGTTAACAACGACACATCCAACGTTCCCGGCGCACAGCGGGGCGATTAGAGCCGAGAACCCAGAGAAGAGGGCAACGTTGGCGTTGCCACGGCGACGGTATTAACAGCAACCGCTCTCATCGGCGGCAGAATAAAATCTGTTTAATGTCAGATATCACGGCAAAGACACAGCATCGCACTTAACTCACCCGAGTGTTGTCATGGTGACGATGGTGCACCAGAAGATGCTAAAGCTAACCGATTACAGCCGAGAACCCAGAGAAGAGAGTACATTCGTGTTGCCACGGTGACGACATTAACAGCAACCAGTGGCAAAATAAAATTTGTTCACACACAATCACAACCTAACCATCGGCGAACACACGGCGTCGCACTCGCGTTAACTCACCCGAGCGTTGTCATGGTGACGATGGTGTACCAGAAGGAGGCCGGGATGGAGGTGAAGGTGGACCCCGCGGTGCCCTTCTCGGCGTAGAACATGACCGTGGCGAAGATGATGATGGCCATTGTGAGGGAGAAGAGCAGGAAGCCGAGCTCGGAGGCGCAGCTCTTTAGCGTGTAGCCCAAAATCCTCAAACCCTGCGAGTGGCGAGAGAACTTGAAGATCCGGAAGACGCGGAAAACACGGAGGGTGACGAAGGCGCCGCTCACGTCCTCGTTCTCGGGCATCACCAGGCCGATGTAGTAGGGCATGATGGCCACCACGTCGATCACCGACATCACCGAGCGCATGAACTTGCAGCGGCTGGGCGCGGCAAACAGACGCATCAGGTACTCGAAGGTGAAGATGAGCACGCACGCCGTGTCCATGCAGAAGAAGGCCAGTTGGTATTTCTCCCCGCAGGGAAGGTCTTTGACGCTGCCTTTGCGCGGCCGGCAGGGGACCGTCTCCACCACGTTGGCGATGACGGAGACGGCGATGAAGAAGCCGGTGACGTAGTAGAAGACCAGCGCCATGGTGGAGGTGTGCGGGTTCTCGAAGGCTCGCCACAGACGCTCCCTGGAGGTGCTGTGCGGAGGGAGGGGGGCGTCCATCCCCTCATTGGCCTCCGTGTCCTCGGCCAGACGCTCCTGGTTCTCCTTTTTCCTGTCTCGGTATTCCTGCACAAAGAGAGAGAAGAAGAAGACGAGATTATGCCTCTCTTTCCTGTTCAACGTTTGTCAATCGTGCGCCAACAATGGTGTAATGCTCGTCAGATGAACAGAGGATAAAGACACTTGCTCGTAGCCTTGCTAACTTTATGCTAGCTTTGTGTCTTGTCCCAGGTTATGACATCATGCTAACAGACTGAGGCTAAAGCTAACACGAAAAGCTTCATGTCTCTATAACCAGTTTTGTCCTTTTGTCCTGCTTTTCCTGTTAGCAAGTTAGCAAGCGAAGATTTGGAATACATTGGTTTTTGTTGGCTTCTACTTGTGTGTTTAAATTGTGTTTATTGTTTTACGTTTTTTTGATGTGTGAAATTCGATCTGGTGTCTGTATTTTATTTTGAAAATTGATGTTTCTGTGTCAGACTTCCTGCCAGTGCGATGTGCTCTCGGTGCAGGGGCGTGTCCAGACATTTTTGACTTGTTGGTACCCATAGAACCTATTTTTATTCGGATATCTTGAGGTCAGAGGTCAAGGGATCCCTTTCAAAATGGCCAAATTTTAACCTACACTTGGAGCGTCTCAACATGGCCTCCCCACTTCCAAACAGACCTGGTTCTGAGACCTACCTCTTAGACCACAAGCTAAGTTTTAATAGATTAAACATCCACAGTGACTGAAGAACCATTGTCAACAAGTCACATGCTGTAAGTCACTGCAGCAGAATATGTGAAATTACTCGATGAATAAAAATAAAAATCATGCGGACGGTTTCTCGTGGGGAACTGTGGGGGAAGTGAGTAAAAAAAAGAAATCCAGGAATTAGAATATCTCTCGCAGTTGAATCAACATTTGTGAACACGATGGAGTCTGCCAAATCTGAGGAAATCAAGAACAATTACACATTCATGAGTCACCGAACAAAAAAGCCTCTGAAGACATATGATGAATATAAATATGAGCTCTGAGGGTGATTTGTTATTTAAAGACATCACTCGCAGGAAGGTACAGCGCTCGCCAAAATCGGCAGCAATAAAAGATCCAAATCAGACTGAGCTGCCGGTGTTTCAGAGGCCTCGTCAACGGAGTCTTAATGAGCTCCAGTTTTATAACGGAGTTCGGCTACAAATCCCCCTCAGATCCATCCGCGCTTTGACACTCAAGTCATTTAGCTGATGATGCTCTTCTCCAAGAGACTTAACGAGCTCTGCAGCAACATTAGAGGCAACCAGGACGAGACCAGAGGCAGTCCCAGCGTCCACGGACGACACAGGTTAAAGTTTATTATTTAAAAGTAGTTTTACTAACAGTTTCACCCCAGCTGAAGGAAGTCCACACAATATGTGGCTGCAGCTTTTTCACTGTAAAAGTATTTTTCTTTCTCCTTTAAATCACTTCTTAAAACAAACCTTTTATTTATTCCAGCATGCTGTTTACTGTCTCACATTGTATTAATAATATTGTTCCCATCATATAATAGCAATGTATTTATTATACTTCCCTTCTATTTTAATTGTCAGATTTTATTTTTTGCCTCCTGAAATATTTTAATCCTGTTTCCAACAAACTGGTGTTGAAAAGAAAATAGTGAGTAGAGTATGGTTAGTAGGATGCCGTTAATCAATCACATTATAAAACAGCTACAGTCTGTGGTTCCCATCACAAAGTGAATCCAGCCAGCGGAGGAAACAATCTCCAATAAAACATCTGAAGGCCTCATGTATCAGGTTATCAACAACCATCAATCAATTAGAGTGATCTCTCTCTTCATCTAATAACACGAACAGCGTCTTAATTTTCTTCACAATCAATCAAGTAGAAAGTAGAAACACTACTGATTTTGTCCACAGGGGCCGACAGAATCAACACAAAATAAAGGTTCCTTGTTATTGCTTTTGTTCGGTTTACCTCCATGCAGCAGTCTCCGATGATCTCCGGCACGATGCCGTAGAAGGCCAGCTCTTCGTCGAAGGCCTGGATGCACTCGTTGCGGGGGTAGTGGAGCTTCCCGGTGCGGTAAAAGTTCAAAATGTGCCGGAACATTTCGGGGTCTCGGTCAAAGAAGTATTCCTGAGTGTCCTCGTTGTAGAAAAACTCCTTCTCCGAAGAGCCCAGCAGCGTCTCCGGATAACGATCCAAAGTGTTCTTCCATGTCTGCAGAAAGGAAACGGGACAGAAAAGATGTTGAGAATCTGATACTGCTGCTGAGTTCATCACAGTTTCAAGTTATGTTCAAGGTATTTCTATTTCATGCAACATTTTAATACATTTCAGAGGGAAATATTGTACTTTTTCCTGCTTTACATTTACAGCTTTGCAGATTCTGATTTTAATACAAATATATATTAAATAAAGGACGTATTACAATCACTAAAACTACCCAGCAAATCACTAATAATTATAAATAATGCAAAAATAATTATAATTATTAATATATTAATCATATTAAATGTATTATTACAGTAATGGACCATTCTGTAAAATTTGTATTTTTACTTTTAGTATTTTAAGTACATTTTGATGCTAATACTAGCATCTGGGCTAGCTGATGTACCTGCAGCTGCTTCTCAGTAAAAGTATTCTAGTTGCCAGAAATGTGAAGGAAAGACTTTTAATCTTTAATTTTTGCTAACTGCAGTATTTGACAAGTTTGTTTTCCAGTCTGACAATAGAAGCTAATTAGCCTAGCTTGCTAGCAATGATTCCCGTGTTACTTTTAGTATCTGCTGAGTCATCATCAGCTCACACACTTTGTGTTTTGTTCATACAGCATTTGGACTTTATCCAAATGTGATGACTGTCAAAGTAACAGAGAGAGTGAAGGCTACAGATGGAGGTAACAACTGCTAACAACAGGTTAGCTACCTGTTAGCTTGTTTTAACTCACTGTAAGTGATATTAAACTGCATTAAATTGATTTTGACAGTCAGATTAGAGCAACTGACATTGTCAGCCTTTACCAACAACTCATGTCAACTGGAAAACTCCCATATTGAGGTAAATTTCTTCCTTTTGTAAAAATATATTAATTTCTTAGCAAACATTTATTTTATTTTCAATTTAATTTTATAAACTGCAGAAACACAATCTCACTAGTGAATAAACTCACATTCTCTTGACTTTAACCACTTTAAGACCAATCATACGGACTCGACCCTGGAGTAAGATGGGAGCATTGGACCGTCACTGATGGTTAAAGTGAAACTGAGGTTATTATTTTGTGTGCCATATTAAAAGCCAGCATTACTGTATGTTTATGTTTCTATATTTATCCCTGGTACTTCGAGCTGCTGCATTTTGTTTTTTAAAATTAGGACAAAGTCATCGGCTTGACGTGAACTTTCTTCTTGTTCTGCAGCCACAGCAGAAAGTACTCTGGTGCTGCTTGATTCCTGAAAGCCACTGAAATCTATTTTTATTGTGGGGCCATTTTGTTTTTATTTCAGCCCAGATGCACATCAATGAGCTGATTAGATGCACAGTATTTACAACTTTCAGCCTTGGATGTAGGAGCAGAGCTGGAGCACAAATCTCTGAGAGCAGTTCTGGACGTTTTTCAACACATGAACAGGTGAGTTAAACCAAGCAGATTGTGTCTATAACAACTACAAATCCCAGAGAGCATCGCTGTAACAAACATCCAATCAGAAAGCTCCAGGTTCTGTTGCCATTGTGGCTGAAGTTAGAGGTTGATTTTTGTTGGGTAAATACATAAATATGAACATTTTTAAATGAAAATTATTTAAATAATTTTAAATAATTTGATCATGTGGCTCTGGCTGGAATAGCTGTTTAGGATTATGGGTAATGTAGTATTTAGAACCACACACCAAACTTAAAGCCGACATAAAACAAGTCCTATACCTGTGCATGACCTCCTGTATATACAAGAAAGTCAGGATTTATCAACACATGTGCCTAACTGATCATTCCTAAGCCCCGCCCCCGTTTGCTCTGTGCTCCAATAATAGTTGAGCAAGCCTCAGTCAACTTCCTCCTTTCCTGTACTATATAGAGATGTTATATGCTAGGCTAATCTTTGATGAAAAGTGTCATAACCCGGCTCCTAGGCTGTGACAAATACAGCAAAACACACAATAGATGGCTAGAAATGAGTGAATTTATTATATAAACTTAAATAACTGAGGTTATAAGTACAAATGTGAAGTGTGTCAGTCAGTAACATCAGTAATGGAAATGTGGATGTGTGAGCAATATGAGGTTTAATGTTGTAAAGTGAAAACAAATCAGAAATCAAACAAAGAGAATGTGCTGCTGCTGCTGGCGGGATGCAGCCGAATGCGAGAGAGAGAGAGCAGAGCAAAGTTGAGACAGGGTTTTTATCCCTTTAAGAGCGCCTGAACCAGGTGCTCCAAATCCGTACTCTGCTGATGGTACCTTCAAGGACACATAGGACAAACAATAACTGGTCAACCACATCAGCACATCAACACTAGACAGGGACCGGTCTGTATCTACACAATTATACTGCCAAGGGACCCCGTACTGTATGTCCAAAGACCAGCTCATTCGGGCTAAAGCCTGTACTCCCTTGGACTGCCTCTCTTGAAGCCCCTCTTCCCAGTCTCTATCTAGCTCAGTACAATAGGCACGCAAGAGAGACTTAAGAGTCTGATGGAATCTTTGCAAAGCACCCTGACTCTGCGCATGATAGGCCGATGATTGGTTTTGTTTTATTCGCAACAGTTTCAACACTTGTCCAAACATATGGGATGAAAAATTCAACCCCTGGTCGCTCTGGATCACTTTGGGATTGCCAAATATAGAAATGAACTGAGACAATGCCTTCACGGCGGCTTTGGTCGTAATTGACCTCAACGGGTACGCAGCCGGATACCTAGTGCTCTGACACATCACAGTAAGCAGATATTTACAACCAGACTTGGCACATGGCAACGGACCCACGCAGACCACAGTGAGATGAGTAAACGGTTCACTCACAGTCAGGATAGGCTGCAGTGGTGCAGGCTTGACTTTTTGATTTGGCTTTCCTGTGAGCTGGCATACATGAGAGGCTTTAATGTATGCTGACATGTCCCTTTTGATCCGAGGCCAAAAGAAATGTTTCAAGATGTTGAGGTATGTTTTCCGGACATCAAAATATCCACACTCGTCATGTGCCACTTTCAAGATAAGGGAACGAAACTTTGTTGGGACCACTATCTGGAAAACATTTTCTGAACAGCAAACTATTAGGCAAAAAGTAACCAATCGCTACATTACTTATCTCCGAGGCAGGCAAAATACGCTCAAATATTTCCTTCAAAGAGACGTTGTTACATTGTTGTACACCATCTCACCGTGAGACAGTGACAAGGGAAGCTCTGACAACGATGGAACCTCCAAAACGACATCAGTACTGTTACTGTCAGGTGGCACCTCAGTCTCTGCTTTACGCATAGCACGTGTAACTACACAGGACGCAGAGACCTCCTACAACGCACTAGGATTCTTCTCAGACACCAAATCCAATGGACAAAGTGTGACTTTCCCTAAAATAAGGTGTATGCCTTCAATAGGCAACGCTGGTCGCACACCCACAGCTACCTCACCCTGAACCAGTTGATAGTTCAGAACCATCTTGTGTAAAAGTACTGGGAAAACGCTTAATCCCATTCCCTAGCTAAGAACCGAGTCACCGGTAAAAGTGTCCCTTGAAAAAGACAATACAGAGTCAACAATGTAGGAATTGTAGGCCCCAGTATCCCTCAGGATTTATATTGGGACTTCCACATCACTTCCCACCAGCGACACAGATCCACCACGAATCTTTAACAGGCGCAGCAAATGCAACAGGTCTCACATTAGCTTTCACTCCCCTGGTTTTAGCCTTTAACACAGCACAATCTGCTTTCCAATGTCCTTTCTCGTGACAATAGTTACAGATATTCCCATTGTCAAAATTAGCACTTGCTTTAAGGTCGGGTTTGAAATCTTTGAACGCGTCATGTCAAACGGAACAGCATCAAAACAATGTCCTCACGCACCAATCTCACGAGCCATAGAGCGGTCTCTGAAACTGCCCTTATGGAGCAATACGTACTCATCAGCTGACACAGCAGCCTCAGCAGCTGTAGTCATTTTCAGTTCTGTTATGTATGTTGCAATACGTTCTGGAAGACTATTTTTAAATTACTCCAAAATCATCAAATCACACAACTCATCAAAAGTAGTGACTTCGAACGCAGTTAACCTCCGCTTAAAATAAGTTGACATGTCTCTGGCAAACTCTGCGTATGTTTGACCATTTTTCTTCTCCCAGGACCTAAAATGCTGACGATATGCTTCCGGCAGAAGTTCATAAGCCTTAAGTACGGCTGCTTTTATTTTGTCATAGCTAGAGCTATCCTCCACAGTCAAAGATGAATATGCCTCCTGCGCCTTTCCTGACAATACACTCTGAAGCATAAGGGCACAGTCCGCATCAAGCCAATTCCTAGCCTTAGCTACGTGTTCAAATAGCAAGAAAAAAGTGTCTGGGTCTTTTTAATTACACTATAGCTAGACTCTAGGATTAGAAAAGTCCCCCAGAAAGTGGCCTACAACAAGCTCTAAACAAACACCCTACCGCCTGGTGATATACTGTAACCAAATATCAAATTTACAAATACATCTACAAATAATCACGCAAAAAAAAACGGGAACAAACACGGCCGTACGAACCCCCAATTTGTCATAACCCGGCTCCTAGGCTGTGACAAATACAGCAAAACACACAATAGATGGCTAGAAATGAGTGAATTTATTATATAAACTTAAACAACTGAGTTTATAAGTACAAATGTGAAGTGTGTCAGTCAGTAACATCAGTAATGTAAATGTGGATGTGTGAGCAATATGAGGTGTAATGTTGTAAAGTGAAAACAAATCAGAAATCAAACAAAGAGAATGTGCTGCTGCTGCTGGCGGGATGCAGCCGAATGCGAGAGAGAGAGCAGAGCAAAGTTGAGACAGGGTTTTTATCCTTTTAAGAGCGCCTGAACCAGGTGCTCCAAATCCGTACTCTGCTGATGGTACCTTCAAGGACACATAGGACAAACAATAACTGGTCAACCACATCAGCACATCAACACTAGACAGGGACCGTCACAAAAGACAACCACATTTTGAGGAGTCAAATATAGTCTTATCTTAAGTTAGCTAATGTTAGCAAAATGTTAGCTAATCTACACTAATTGTTAGATTATTATTATATAATTATATCTGATTGTTTATGGTAACAAAACGCTATAATTAGTGTGAAGCTATCGTGACTTCACCCATTAGCTTGTGGGGTACTGTTTTAAAGCCTCACGTTTGGTATTACAGTTAACTACATAGTTAGTCGGCCGTTTAGTTTGCGTTTTTGCCAGAGAGCAAAACAATAGCTAGCTAATCTACATTTATCGTTAGATAGTTATATTAAGCTAACTAGCTACCAAACGATTGATGCAGATTAACCAGGAAAATGTTCCAAAAGGGGCGGGGCTTAGGAATGGTCAATTATATGTGTGCTCATGGACAAATAGGGTGTATTACATAAACTCATCATCCCTTTGTAAAGCTTTAATGTAGGACTACTTGTTCTGTAAAATAACAACTGAGAAAGATAAAGAACCTGATGACGAAACTCGTGTTGTGAGGAATTTGCTTTTACATTAACAACTTTGGTTGAACAGAAATGTACCCAGCCTAGTTAATCCAATTAAAATAAAAGAAAGAATTTGTGTTTATTCAATTTATCATTAATGCAGAATGAAATTATAATTAATAGAAGCAGTACAGTACGTATAGGCACTTCTAGAAATACAACATGAAAGAGGTTCCTGACATCAAAGGCAGACGGCGGGTGGCTCATGTAAATGTAAAAGAATTAAATTAATGTCCTTGTTCTCAATATAAAGGAAAGTGCCTTTAACCTTGTGTAAGAGCATTTCAGCTGTAAATATTCTGCAGCATACAGGGTCCAGCATGTTTTAACAATGAACATTTAAAGTCCAGGTGGAATGAAAAATGTAATTTCAACCCTTTAAGATCACATCTTCAGTTATATAGTTCCACTTTTTAACAAAGTACAAAAACTCAATCTCTTTGTATTTTTATATAAAATCCAATCATTGTCTTCCTGTAAAACAAAATGTGACGCGTGCTTACGTCAGTATGAACTAACTCATTTCAACCAATAATATCGTGACTTTCACTCGTCAATTAATCAATCTTCAACTTTTAGCGACACAGAGCGAAGATTCATTAGTTAGCTAGCTAACAGCATGGCTAGCTAGCGGAGCTCACTGATTACTGTACAAACACAACTTTATCAGAGATTTGGGTGAAACTGGATCATATTTTATAGAAAGACTATTGTCTGCTTTTCCCTCAACTCCACAAACTGCTAATGTAGCTGCCGCAGCTAACGTTTTGTTGGCTCACATGATGGACACCATCGCTGTAGTTACATGGTTCGCCCACTAGGTTCCTGGCGGATTACTTCCTCCACTTTGCTGCCATTCTGTATTTTGGGCAGAGGTGGGTAGAGTAGCCAAAAATTGTACTCAAGTAAAAGTACTGTTACTTCAGATTAATATGACTCAAGTAAAAGTAAAAAGTAGTCATCCAAATAATTACTTGAGTAAGAGTAAAAAGTATTCAATCAGACAGACAAAAATACAAAATAATCATCTTTAGGCAAATTATAATTCATCCAATCAATAAAATTAATTAAAATTAATTAATTAATTAGAAAATAGCTTAAATTAAAATAATCCAGGTAAATTCAAGCACTTAAAAAATAAAATCAATAAAATAATAATAAATAAGCACAAGCAACACAAATTTCCAAACCTTTATACTTTTTTTTTACCAGGCTCTGCAGGCAGCTGTGTGTGTGTGTGTGTGTGTGTGTGTGTGTGTGTGTGTGTGTGTAGACAGCGCATAATGTAGCTGCTGTTTCGTACTTTTACTAAGGTAAACATGCTTTCAATATGAGGCCAGGGGTGTTCCTCCTCGTCTGTGTCTGCATTGCCGTCGGTTGATTCTGACCTTTTTGTTTGCTACGACTGTAAAGCTAACCCGTCCCGCCGCTGAGATTGAGTATGGTCACGTGACGAGACTGCACAACTACGTTTGATTGGTGAAACATAGTCACATGGTAGAGCAGAAGTCTCTCTCTATGTCAAAATAAAACATTAAAATGAGGCGTGCGCAGGGGGGGGATAAAAACAATGACACGTAGAATACCAAAGTAACGAGCTCATTGTAGCCTAATGTAGCGCAGTAAGAGTACAGTTTCTTCTTCACAAATCTACTCAAGTAAAAGTAAAAAGTATAGTGATTTAAAACTACTCCTAGAAGTATATTTTTTTCAAAAACTTGCTCAAGTAAATGTAACGGAGTAAATGTAACTCGTTACTACTCACCTCTGATTTTGGGGCATGCTCAGTAGACTCACCTGAAACCTGACCCCGCTGACGTTGACGTACAGGATCTCATCTGATTTGGACGAGTTGTCCACAGGAGGTTTGGGCATCGTCTTCTTGGCCAGCGGCAGCCATCCCACCGCCGCGGCCCGCGCAAACGGCAGCCACGTCGCCACACCGGCCGCCATCTTGCATCAGTGCGTCCCAACCCGCAGAAAGTCGAGTTCTGTTGGAAGAGGAGGAGGGTGGAGCTAATGGATCCGAGGTAATTGCCTTAACTAAATCCTTGTTCACTTCTCTTCCTGCCCTGGCTGGCAGTGAGAGAGGAAGTGGTCGGCCATGTTGAGGGGGGAGGAAGGGGGGGTCTGGGGGAGGGGTCAGATGGCAGTTAGGTGTCAAGCCATGAAAAAAATGCCTTAAAGGAGCGGGAAAGCCGCTTCATCTGACAGGTGTGTGGCCCGTCTTTTATTTTAGTTTCTGACGTCCTTCTGGTAGATGCCGGCTTCCTGTTGCCCTCCAAAATAAAAGCGGAGCTCTTCCTGGCTTGTAGAACCACCCTCAGGGGAAAGTGACTTTTTTTTCATAAAAACCCAGAAAAACTCTCAGGAATTACAGGTGGAATAATCCCTTTTTTGTTGTTTTTCCTGAAGAACTTGTGTAAGTCCTCTAAATAACAAGATGTTCCTCTGTAGAACTCTCCTGGTAGAAAAACATAATTTCTTGTACTCTCAGCAGTCTTAAAATATGTGTAAAATAATAATAAAGTTATTCTCTGATATTGCAGTCACAGGATTATTTATTGCTGCTGGGACAAAAAGATATAAATCCAGGTAGGAAAGTGTTAAAGCGCTGGTGTCTGGCCTCCACCTCGCTGCAGCTTTCCTCTCTCTCTCTCTTTCTCTCTGTGTCTACCTCTCTCGACCGCCCTCTCTCCCTCTGTAGACTGATTTGTTGCAGCGCCGCAGCCTTTCAAATTCTTATTAAATTGTGATGATGGTTCCTGAAGTTGCAAGATAGACAGAATCGCCCGTGTTGCCTCCCCTCCCTCTAAGTGTTTCTCTGCTGTGGAGATTATGGATGTGCAGCCTCCCTCTCTTCCTCTCTTTCTATTTCTCGTTTTGCTTTTGCTTGCTGTTTTGCCCTCTCTAATTTTCCTTTATCTGTCTCTGTGTTTTACTGTGTCTCTCTCTCTCTCTCTCTCTGGGTTGGGGGCATTAGTTGGTGGTGGAGAGACAGTGGCTTTTACGTTGGAGAGCGAGGAGGAGGCGTCCGGCCGTCCTTACTCCATGTCCATGTATGGCCGTCCTGTCAGAAAACACACAAACAGAAAAGAGACAGAGAGTGAGAGACAAACCAGGAGGAGAGGAGTAAGAAGAAGGAGAGAGGAGGTATGGGAGAAAGGAATTGAAAGGGTTCAATGAAAGGAATTAGGGGAGGACACAAGGGCGGAAAGAAGGAACAAAAGGAGATGAAGGAAATGAGGAGAAAGGAGGAATGGTGATGGAAAGATGGGATATGGAGACGAGAGAAAAACTGTAAAGAGGGAGGAGTGGGAAGAGATGGGAGGAAGGCAGAAGGGAGGAGAAACAGTTGTAGGGAAGGAGGGAGGAAGAGGATGGATGGGACAAGAGAAAAAATGAGGAAGAAGGAAGTAATAGTAGAAAGGAGAAATTGAGTTGTCAAAAGTAAGGAGAGAATAAAATTACGGGATGGGAGGAGGAGGAGAAAGGATATTATAAAAAATATGAGATAGAAATAAGGCAGGATGAGGGAGGGAGGGGAGATGGTAGCAGTGAGAATGAAAAGAGATAAGGGAGGGCGGATTAAAGGAGAGAAAGAAGGAAAATGAGAAAGGTGATGAAGAAGAGGAGGAGAACAGAGTGAAACAATATCAGAAACACATTTATACTACTATACTTGTGAGGACCCTCACTAACATCCTGTTACCAAAGCCAGTTACTCTAAATATAAACCTGAGTCTTAAACATCTGTCAGGCATTACTGGTAATAATATTACAGTAATAATGTTACAGTTACCCACAATGAAGATTATTAGTTACATTACTTTTGTTGTCTCTTCCTACTGATTTGAAATCCAACAATTCAATCACATCCTTTTATTATTTTTTGTAATCGTTGAGTAAATGTGTTTGGAAGATGAACCATTCAGCAGCTGAAAATATTCACACTATTTTAATTTTAACAAACAAAACTGGATTTTAATTATTGTCAGTAGCAGAAAAGTAAAATGACAAGTAGTGTTTCTAATTACTGCTAGGAAAGAGTAATAAATTAAAAAATTTTTAGTAACTAGCCCAACACTTGTCTTAAAGGATCTTTGTAATTTCTTTGTAATCATCAAATCTCATGTTCAAGTCCAAACCAACAACAATGAATCTGGTGTACCTCAGGGGTCAATGTTTGGTCCCCTGTTGTTCCTGAATTACATGAATGATCAATTTCATTGCAAAGAAGGTTTTTACATAAAAATATAAATAAACTAAATAGAGACAAAAAAGAGAGACAATATAAACAAATATAAAAAGAGACAATATGAATGAAGAGCTGTACAGTTTGTGCAAAAATAATTTAGCAAAATTACAGTATAAGTGCAAGATAAGAGTTTCACTTAATGTTGTTCTTCTATTTTATTATCAACAAATTCCATATTTACTCCCAAACCAACAATGTGTTGAACCTGGTGTACCTCAGGGGTCAATGTTTGGTTCCCTGTTGTTCCTGATTTACATCAATGATCCACTGAATGTTCATACACTCACATCTGATATTTTATTTGCAGACGACTCTGTAGTATTTTTATAATCACAGAAACCTTAAAGTATCCATCCTGTTATTCTATTTTATTGACTACAAATACCATGTTTACACTCAAACAACAACATCTTAGTCCATCTCTCAACATTGTCTGACTTCCTGTTTGTGGTTCTCAGCTCAAAACTCATCGGTTCCTACTGACAACTTTAAAAACACATAGTTTTATATATATATAAAATATAGTTTCATGTTTACAAAATGTTCAGTAATTTCCTAAAACAGCTGCTCACTGTAGTTTTTATCAAGAAGAAGACGATATATCAGGCACTGATACACACAATACTTGTTAGTGGATACATTCACTGTTGGTTTGAGTCTCAACATTAAGAAAAATAACCAGAGTTATACTTTAACTTTCAAAATAAAATATTTCAATGTATCAAATGTATGAATATATAAAAACATAAATAAAAAACCTCAGAAACAGGCCGAGCGTACCTCAGGTCTGTGCTTTATGAATCGTTTGCTTCCTGTTTCTAACGTCCCCTGATGGACGCACGGAGCTGGAATCGAGTTCATGTGTTTAAGATGAAGATATAAAGCTGCAGGTTATTAAAGATGTTTTTTATGACGCGACCAACATAGCGTCCTCGGTCTGCTGAGGAAAAACACAGCCGACCGTCTCTCTTTATTTCTCCCTCTGCGTTCCTCATTCAATAAAGCAGCCACAATAAAGTTTCCTCTGGAACTGCTCTTCGTCAGATGAAAAGTTATTGTCGCAGGTTTATTGCATAAAGTCCACAGTGGGAGCAATAAAACTTTTCCTTCCTCAGGTTTGCTTTGAATCAAAGCCAGTCCATCTGATTAAGGAAGCTTAACCTCTTCGACTCTGCAGTGACATTACTGGATCTTTATTTCAAACTCTGGTGGAGATACTGAAGTTTTCAAAGATACTAAATATGTCCGGCTGAAAAATGTGTTTAAAATGATGGAGTCAGTATTTCTGGTACTACTGCTACTACTCACTACAAATATTGCGTTACAAAAAAGCTGTTTTCTAGTGTTTTAATTTCACAAGTGAAACGTCCAAAAACACCTGTACCCCTGAATGCATCACATGAAACATCTGAAAACCACATGCGTCCCTGAATGCATCACATGCAAAACACACACATGGTTGACATAAAAATATGAATTGACTTTTCAACTTTTTTCCACAAGGGACTAAAAACTAAATTTAAAAAAACATTAGAAAACAAAAACTATGACGACAAGCAGTATAATTTACACTGATGGATAAAAACTAATATATTGATAAATTATTCAATGTGGATTCGGTTCACGAGGAACCTCTAACCTGTTGCATTATTACAAATATTAATGACCAGACCAACGAGGAATTATTGATTTCATTAATTTAGTTTTTATAATAAATAAGTAAATAGAAATAATGTTGCTATTTGAGGTTGAAATAATTAATCAGGTATAGTTTAAATATTATAGTTCAATGGTTTACGTCTATAATTTAAAGAAATATCTGTTAGATTAGACTGTAAAGCAGAGACAGCCACATACAAACCCTGCACAAACACAATATGCCTGTGTGTTGTGTGTGTGTGTGTGTGTGTGTGTGTGTGTGCTGATGAATTATGAATGAACTTTCAGCCTGACTGGTTTCTCTGTGTTCATCTGCACTGCCTCAGTTACCATTAAGTACAATCCACCACGACACACACACACACACACACACACACACACACACACACACACACATAAACAACAACACACCTGTATGACTACACACAAATAAACAAACACAAACACACAGTCTCCATATGACCAGTTTTGGTACTGCAGTGTTTTCCATCATTTCAACACACACACACACACACACACACACACACACACACACACCAGTAGGCGTATATACAGTGGGTACGGAAAGTATTCAGACCCCTTTAAATTTTTCACTCTTTGTTTCATTGCAGCCATTTGCTAAAATCAAAAAAGTTCATTTCATTTCTCATTAATGTACACTTGACAGAAAAAAACATAAATGTAGAAATCTTTGCAAATGTATTAAAAAAGAAAAACTGAGATATTTGTTGACTGTTCCTCTCCTCAAATCTATTCACAAACATATTTACTGTTTATCTGGAATACCAGATCCTGTGTGAGCCGGCGACCCCCCATTCTTTCTCTGCGCAGCCAATGAGAGCAGCTCAACTAGCAGTACGTCACCATTCATCATTCAGAAAGCAGAACACAACAAATGTCTACTTTAAATTCTGAAATCTAAAATAGGCAAAAATTGTCCAAAACCACCGCAAGAAATTAATTTTATTTGAAAATAAACTTAAGATTAACTTTCAAACCAAACTTTCATTTTTACCTCTTCACTCTTTTTAATTTTCTAAATGACAAAGAGGAAGATCTATACCAAAAATAAATCAGGTCTGATCTGGACTCAGACGATAGGACAAGTTAAATAACAGGGTAGTTAACAGGATCTGCTGTTCACAGAATCAATGTTTAGCTTCGTTATGTCCTTATTCCATAAGCTAGTTAACTAGAACTGAGGTGACGCGACTGAATAAAACACGACAACGTTAACGAACACGAATCCGGAGGTCAGTCTACGTGAAGTCGTGAAAACCCGTCTGAACTGCTGCTGCGACTCCATCTGGAGCCGCTCTTCGTGGTTCCTAGCGAGGTGGAGGACAGTCTTTCACTCAGCAGTCAGACAGTAGATCCACTGACTCAGGTTCAGCTCTCTCACAGTAATAACCATAAAAACCCAGCAGCCATCCCATTACTGGAAGCTTCCAAGGAGGAAGCCGCAGCGGCAGCAAATACGGCGGTGTGATGGGGAAACGCTGATCCCAGAGCTGTGGCTGTGGATCAAAAGCATCACAAGGATGCTGTAAATATCTAATGTGCGCTCAGAAACTCATGATGTCAGCAGGGATTCCCACAGATAGGACGAGTTTCAGAAAGTCAAAGTCGCCCAACACAAAGATTTATTTAGGTTTTAACAGTTTGTTCATCTTCTGCAACCAGGAAACTCCTGTAAACAGTTTCAATATTGATGTGATGTGATTGTTCTTTCTATGAAGCTTCCTATGAAATAATTCAGCCCTTCAAACTTACGCTGTTGATATCAGGTGACGTGATTAGATTAGATTAGGTAGATACTTTATTCATCCCCAAGGGGAAATTCACAGTTTCCAGCAGTATCCACAAACTGATAATAATAATAATAATAACAACAATAACAGGAGGTCACATTTAAAAGAACTAATAAAATAAAGTAGAATAAATAGCTAAATAACGAGCATTGGGTAAGTGTCCTAAAGTGCATGGTCAAATCCAGTGCTTGAAAGGCCTAAGGTACATAAGTAGGTGGTCACATAATGCAGGGTGCACTGCGTCAGGTGGTATAGTTAAATACACATGACGCAGTGCACCCTGCTTTATGTGACCATTATGTGTGTGCGCCGCTAAACTAATACTTTGATTAATTTGAAACA